GCAAGCTGGTGACGTCGGCATCGGCTGACCAACAGTGACAGGTTGAGGTGGGGGAGAAGGAAGAAAATGATGGAAAAAGTGAAAAATTTGTGTGTTCTTAGATATTACGGGACATGTACATTAAAAATTTTAAGATGTTTATAGAGGATTACCGTAAACAAAATAGTTAAAAAACTTGTCTATTAACAATTAGACTAAAAACTTGCATGCGAGACAGGTTCGGAACTGACCGAGAATTGTACTACAGTTGTAACGCCACAATTATGGTATTGGATTTGGACCTCACATAGAACTATACTATAATTGCACGGAGTTTTTGCGTTCCTCGTACATGAACAGCAATTGGCCCACGATAATTTGAAGCAAAACGAAACAAAGGACAAAAAAATTAATAACACGAAATAAGCAACTAATAAGTTGTGTCAACCAAAAAAGAAAATTGAAATCGACTAACCTATTATTGGGATCCAAGCACGAAATAAGCAACTAATTAAACATCAAGTTAATAACAAGTCAAGGAAATGAGTCAAAAACAAGAAAATACAATTGACAGGAAAGATTTAACATGTTCATAGTAATAACCCATTCTTTATTATAAAAAAAGTTCATATAAAAATATAATTTGAATTCTAAACTCAAACCTTGTGTAATATTTCTCATATACCAGAGTCCTTTTCCTCACTCTCATCTATAACACATGACTCCTTTTTGTGTACTTTAATATATGATATGACAGTCCCCTTCAATTTATAGGATATATTACTTGATAAATATTTCAATAATAATAAAAAAATAACTTACCTGATTTCCAAACGTATATAAATACAAAATTTCTTGGCAACTACTCCAAATACATATAAATTACTGGAAACTATTTACTTGTCACACAAAATAAAAATTGCCTAAACAATATAAGTAATTTCCTTATAATCTCCACCAAAAAGCTTGATGTGTAGTTATACATACCGAATTATTACGTTGTTGTAACGTCCATACATAGCTAATCCGAGTCCAACCTTTAGCTGACTTAAGTTTGTAGGATTTTCCTTTTCACTAGCACTTACAACTTGAAAGTAATCCTGGATCCCTTTTTTAATTCTGTTCCCAACTATTGAGGTAATCAAGTAACAATTTTTTTCTTTAAAAAAAATCACCATACTTCTTACCTTCACAATATTGTCTCGCCCATGTGTGCTTTTTAAAATTCCACCATTAATGAAAACCTCGTAACTTTGAGAGTCTCGGGATGCATGAGAGTTAGATTTTTTTTTTTTTTTGGATTTTTTTGATACATGTGTCGTACCGCTCAAACAACGAAGCTGAAATACATCCAACATCAAGTACATACCATTCGAAATTGTTAAGAACATTTCCACTAAATTACATCCTAATTTAACATCGGACTCATTATGTTTTTCTGTGTCCTCTAAATTACTTGCCCAATTTTACTGTCAAATATCCTCTATGTTTGTTGTCTTTCGCTCCTTTCCTTCAATGCCAAGCCTGTTTGCATGAATATTCTTTTGCTATTAAATTATTGAATTGAAATTACCGCAACTCACTTAACCAATAATTAACCAAAACCTAGCTATGATATTATACTAGATGTTGAGACCCAAGTGCTAACGAAGAATCATTGAAAAATTAAGTGCATGACAATTTAAAGAAAACAAATAAAAAACATGAAACTTCGAGTAGATACAAGATTAATGTGGTTTAACTCAATTATTAAATCTATATCTATAAAGACAAAATTCGATATGTGAGAAAAATAAAAAAATCTAATTTGAATCCGGACGCAACCGTAGTATGACGTTTCTCACGTAGCAGAAAGCCCTTCCCTCACTCTCATTACATGTTACTACTTAAAACAAAAATAAGGCAATTTTCATAACAAGGTAAATTTTATTTCGTCCTTATGCCACCTTTTTAAGAAGAAAAGTGTAAGTAGGTAAAGAAAAGTGCATTAAAGAAAGTTGGGTGGCAACTTCAAAAAATTCTTCAATAAACCAAACTCGTATATTAAATTTTTAACGCATGTCAATTCCACCAACTAAGATACCCATAACGGCCATTGGTTGCCTGCCACATATCTATAGGTGCAAAATACGGATGATTGAACCCGTTGTCATATTTGCCGTGTTACGTGGATTTAGACCTTCAGAATGTACAGCCATGATTTTCTTGGTTTCTTCTGTCGTACCCCAACATTTTTCGGCATGGTTTTTGTTATTTAGATTTTTAGGATCGGCCTTGTTAAAATCTGGATTCATTTTAAATTGTATGAATAACAAGTGATCATTTCTATCGATTGATTATAAAAAAAGTGATTAAAAATTATGAAAAATGCTAGACTTTCTATAACGATTGTCAAAATAAAAGGAAATAAAATGAAAGAGCAAGTGGACAAGGTACAAGTGAGTTAATATTTTTATGTCAAACATGATACTATATGGAAAGAAGCTAGGGAAACAACATGTCTTTTTAAATAGGTGAAAGCAAGGTTCTTAAAATGGTTGTGATTTGCGAAAAGATAAAGCTTCAACAGGTGAGAGCAAGATTCTCATTTGCCCATGAAAGCAGTAATTTTGGAAGAGGGAGATAGGATATGATATGGATATGGATATTGATATGGATGGTTGCGCCATTAATAAAAGAATACTTACGAAAAGTAAAGAACCTTCAAGTATATGTGGTTTATACAGTATGATATATAATTTTTAGCATTGTATGATTTATAATTTGCTTGAAATATATTTTAGCCATTAAAATGAGAGAGCTCAGAGGATAGTGAGATCTTTTTTTTTTTTTTTTTTGATAAATTCTTATGACGAGTTGGTTTGTTTTGATCGATCATTCATTGCTACTTGACAGATTTTATCCTATCATCTTTCCGCAAACATTTTGATAATTATTTATTTACTGTTAAAATTTAGGTAAACTTATTTTTAAAATTTAAATAATTCAATTTGTATTGCACGCCATTTGACTAAGTAAAGTAACGTAATTTGGACCATCTGTGAAAATCGGAGCTAAGGGATTGCTTGGTTAGAGGGTTTGGGAATCACAGAAAGGAATGAATCCCTTATTTGTTGCTTGGATTAAGTGTATTGGAATACAAATTTTGGAATCATTCCTAAAAAATTGGACTTCTCCATTCCTGACCAAGTTGGGAGGTTTTGTGGAATCCCACGTTTGATTCCAAATCTAATTTTTTTTTATTTCATCTCACTTATTGCTTCACCATCTCTTTTCTATTTTCATCACATTCTCCTATTTGCTTCCTTCTCCATATCAAACCGGCCTTTCCCTTTCCTCTCCAATCTTCTAATTTCTCTCCTACGGTGTAGCAGGCCTCTTTTTTTCCAATCTTCCACAGTTTACGACGGCTCTGTGCTGCAAATGTGATAGTAATTTTTGTTGGCCAAAGAATCTCATCTTGATTGGTTGCCGACGGCTCTGTGCTCTGTGCTCTATGCTGCAAATCTGAGTCTTTTTTGGGGGTTGTATGGCTGCAATGAAGGAGGAGTTAAAGTGGTGGAGTATGGCTGCAATCTGACGATGGCTCTCATCTTTTTTGGGGGTTGTATGGCTGCAAATCTGAGTCTTTCTTTCTTTCTTTCTTTCTTTTTTAAAGTTATTTAGAAACTAGATCTAATGATCTTCAAGTTACAAGTGGGGTTTACGTAAACAGATTTTGTGATCTTGAAGTCCAAGAAAAATACGGTTGATCCATTAATGGTCACTATGAAGTTCTGCAATTCGGTTAAGAAGGCAGGAAAACACAGAACGGATGGCAACCGTAACATGGTTAGACCTCAAGGCCCTCAACTCTTGATCTGTACTTTGATCAAACTTCAAAGGAGGTAGTGCAAATAACCCTTTCATGTTTTAAACAAGTCATTTTCTTTTCTTTTCTTTTTTTCGTTATTTGAAGGAAAACATTTAGAACAAAAAGGAAAAAAAAAAAACAAAAAACAGTTATGTAAGTGAACTTTACATGCATTACAGTTTGTGAAATTCGTCAATTCTCTGTAGAATTCTGTTCAGTGGACTGAACATAAGCGCAATCATATTAGTTTTACCATTGACTTAGCCTCCAAGGAGTAGCTTCAGTAACACCTAATCAAATAAACTTCTACTTCTCGTGAAAATCAATAGCACATCGGGTTATCAGATGAACTTCCACACAAGGGTAAAATATATCTTGACAGATAAAAGGTATTCCAACAGTTCAAAGAAACCTCAAGTCTCCAATCTGCATGGTCCAATTAAGGAACTAATTATTAATGGATCATTGCAAGAAGTCTGATTTTGACCTGAAATGATGATGGACGACCAAAACTATCAAGTACAAAAGCTGATTCATTCACTCTGCCTCTGACCCAAAACTGGAACATCTTCGTAACGCTTCTGTAATGCAACATTTATGAATTTCAGTTAGACATCCATGAAGACCACGACGAAGGTAAAGCAGACATATCTATTATTACATAAAGCAGGAAAGTAAAAGACTAGAAGCATCCATTTCTAGAAGCAGAGAAGAATATCTATCTAACTATATCTATATCTTATCAACCTAAGGTAGACTAAGTGCTTAGGAAAGTCTCCAAGGGTGCGTGGTTTTGATGACGTGCCAGTTCATGATTTGCTGAAATGTTGTCGTCCTCCAGCTGCTCACGTGACTTGATGGTTGGAAATTGGGATGTGAATTCCGTTTGTGAGCCACCGAGTCTTTTTGCTTGCATCCAACCCACTAAAGAAAGTGATAATAGTAGTAATAGTCCTTTTTCTTTTTCAAACACAGTGGTTGGGCCTATTTCTCTTTCCCACCTTACCGACTGTCAGCCTTTTTGGTCACACCTACTGGATCAGAACCATCTTTTATCTCTCCCTCTTTGTTCATCGTCTCTCTCTCTCTGTTTCTTTTCGTTTCTTCATCTCCGACGAGAAAGCCCCCTTCTTCTCTTTCTCTTTTCTTTGTCTTCGTCTTCTGATAGAGAATAATGATAAGCCAAAAAAGATGGTTTATATATATACTTTTAAAGGTTCTTGTTTCTTCCTTTGCAGAACTTCTCTAGCCCTCATTTTTTTTTTTTTTTAAATGGGTTGTAGTTGTCTAATTTACATATTTCTATGTTGCAGGTGACAAATTGGAAATTACTTCCGGCAACCTGATGACATCTTGCAAGTCTTTTGTTTCCTTTTCTAAAGTGCATTCTGTATGCTTAAAAGTTTTGATTCTTCTAATTCCTGCACTTTCTTATGCCCGAGTTCTTTTGTACTTTTTTTTTTTGTTTTCTGAAGAAACCGTGTTGTGGGTTTTTCTGTTTTTTCCCAATAGAGCAAGGGATCAATGATAAAGGAGGCATCTTTTTCAGGTTTGAGGTTATGTTTAATAGTTTTTATCAATGATTTTTTAAATCAATAGCCTATTGTTGTTTTTTTGCTTGAACTATTTTTATTTATCGGTAGCCTTCTTGATTTTCAAGTTTAGAAGAGATTTTTGCAGTTTTTTGGGACAAAAACAGCTTGGATGAGTTTTTAGGAAAATTGCCTTGGTGAGTTTCTTGCTACGGATTTATGTGTTTTGGACTATTGTTATCTAAGCGCTTTTGTAACGTTGTCTTTTTTATGAACTGACTTCAAGTTTTTTCCTCCTTTTTTTATAACTGCTGTTGGTATATGCTTTTGCCGTTGTGGCGAGTTCATTTTAAACTTCCTGCCTTTTTCTTTCTGTTTTCAGTTTTTCTTTCTATTCTTGTGATTGCCTGTTTTACATCCGTATGGTATGCCTTTCTTTGTAGAATTCGCTGGCCTTTTGATTCTTGCAAGGGGCCTTCTTTGAAGCTAATCCTTTGTCATTTGTTGGGACAGGAATTCTGTTGCAGGTCAGATGCTTATTTATTTGTCTTGTTTGCTTTTTCCTTTTGTCGTACATTCTTTATTTAGTTGCCACTTTTGCTTTTCCGTTTTTAGTTCATGCATGAGTATCACCTCTGCGTAATAGTTGTTAACTCGCATGTAAGAGTATGCATGCATGTTTTTTATTTCATTGTATCATATATCTTATGTTCTTTACAGCAATTCGTAAATGTTGTTTTTGTTCTTCTTTACAATCATTCGACTATAGTTTTTGGTGGCTATTGTAAATTGCCATTGGCTGATTTTTTTTTTTTTGGACTGATGGTTCTTAGTCATTTAAGTCAGGTGGATAGAAATACTATTCGTCAAAAATGGTATGTTGAAATGTCACAGAGTGAGAAGGCTGCACTTTCATGTCGGAGGCATGAAGCCAGGCTTTTGGAAAAAAAGGGAGAAATCCTCACGCTCTTATGTTCATAGGGTACTGTTTGGTTGCATAGAAGCCGGTGTTTGTTTTCCTGGTTCTACTCTTGAGGGCGATAGCAAGCTACTCTTGAAGGCTGTGGTTTTACTCCTCGAGGTATATGTGCCGTTGTAGTATTTTACTCGTCTATTCTGTATCTGTTAGTTTATTTAGCCTTGTGTCAGATCATTATCTTTGAATGGCTTCACGTTTCTGTGCCATTTACGATTGAAGCCATCTATTTTTGCACATTACAGCAGCTCCATTGAATGACATAGTTCAGGTTACAAAAGGTCAACCAGAATCTAGTGCTGGAAAAAAAACTGTGTCTTCTCATCTTTGGCCGAACGTTTGGCCTTCTATTAAAGATCAGCCTTCTTAGCACAGTCATAAAGAAGTCTTACCTAAAGGATTGCCTGACCTCTTAGATAACATTACAGTCTTCAATGAGAACGAACAAACTTGTGATTCTCAAAATGTCAACCAAATAACATACTTCAATCTTTAAAGGACTCAAACTCTGGAATCCTTAACTCTTTGAACACTCCGTCTTTAAATCGTTTGTCCAGAGACTGTGTTTCCTCTTCTATTGCATTGAATCCCTGATCTTTCAGCATTCCGCGAGGTAGAGATATTACTGCATCCAACAAATCATTCTTCTTGCTTTTCTTATTCAGCCTTTAGTATCGTTGTCTTTCATAAACTATTCTTAATAAAATAAGGCCGTCTATTTATGCACGTTGCAGCAACTCCATTCAATGACAGAGCTCAGCGTTAGAAATGTCAGATAGAAACTAATGCTGGAAAAAGGAAGAAAAAGGAAAAAAAAAAGGACATCTATCTTTTGATTCCTTACCTAATGACCAGCCTTGTAAGGGGAGGCATGGAAATGCATTGTCTAAGGCATGGTCTCCTATTTCAGAAGTTAACATTGCGATCTCTTAAGACAATGAACAAACCTGTGGTGCTTGATGTTAAAATACAGCTAACATCTTTGAACCTACGCGGAACTTGAATTCTAAAATTCTTGGTTCTTTGCACAGTCCATTTTTGAATTGCTCGTTAAATGACTGTATTTATTCTTCTACTACATTGAATCTCCAGTCTTCTAGTACTTCTCAAGATACAAATATTATTATGTGTACCAATTATTTTGCTTGCTTTTCTTGTTCAATCTCCGGTACTTAAAAAAAATTCTTCTCCACTTCTAAGATAATGTTGTGTCTTTTGGGCACCTTATTAGGATTTGCCATTGCAGATATCCCATCGATTCAGAAAAATATGGTGGTTCATTCTCAAATAATAAATGATGTGTCGACTAACAAAGATGGGACCAGCAAATCATCTGATATTCCTGTTGGTTTTGCAACTCGAACGAAGGATCATACAAATGCTATGCCGACAAGAACGACGCAGTCAGGTTAGTTGATATGTAGGTTATGCTGAAAGGGGGCAAAAACGTTTCATCCTTGTTGGAGTATCGTATATGTGATGAATATGTATTTCTGTCCTTGAAATATTAAAAAAAAAGAGCAGCTGCTTATAAAATCCTTGAGCATTAACTGCCTTAAGCTTGATTATGATACTATTTGATCATTTGTTTCAGGAGGGCTCCCACAATATATGTTAACATTTTCTCTTGGGAAGCTGCAACACAATTTCCAATAGCAACACAGACAGCAAGAGGAGGGGCAAGTTTCTCTTCCTACTGTTACTGACTGTCCATTTGAGTATCAATGTTAATTATTATATATTCTAAGCTGAATATTCTGCGGATCTTGGCAGATGCAATGGGGCTTGGGAAAACTGTGATGACTATTGCTCTGATTCTTGCAAGGCAAGGCAGAGGTACCCTGAGGATTAAGAATCGATTGCCAAAAGTGAGGGTGATACAGAGTACATCAAGAAAAAGAAAGAGGAATCTGATCTCAAACCTTTTAGAAAAGTGAAAGGCAACACCCTCATTATTCGTCCTATGGCGTTGCTTGGCCAGGGAAGGTGAGTCCCTATAATATATTTGATTCAGCCAGAATAACAAAGTTTTCTGAGTTTGTATGCATTCTGAATAGGTTTAGCTACATTGTTCTGAAACTGCATTACTGATTTTCTGATCGTATGTTAGTTAATGGATAGGCACAAGGATATACTGTCGTCTTCTCTGAATAAGAATTTACTGAATGAACAGGATGAACTTGAAACACACTCAAAGCCAGATAGCATCTCCGTTTCTGTCTTTTTTGGTGGGGATCGGAGCAGTGACCCTAGAGTGATTGCTGAACCTAATGTGATCTTGACCACATACAGTGTCTTAACGGCTGCTTGTAAGAATATAAGCTAGCCATTTCCATTTTTTGTTACTTTCCACCACCGAAATCCATTTACTTGCAGCTTATAAGAATGAAAAGCTGGCCATTTCCATTTTTTTTAGTTTCCACCACTTAAATCCAATTGCTAATGCTGCTTGTTCTTTTCCCCTGTTGAAACATTTTTAATGATTACTATTTTATATGTTCAACACAGGATGGGGAGAATAGCATTTTCCACAGAGTTGATTGGTACAGAGTGGTTTTGGATGAAGCTCATACCATCAAGTCCTCTAAAACTCTAGGTGCCCAGGCTGCCTTCAAATTGTCATCCTATTGCATGTGGTGTCTTACTGGTACCCCTCTTCAGGTATGGCAGCAGCAAAGAATTCTGGCATTAGTTGAACAAGTGCCCGAGTAATGTTTTTCCTGATTGTTATTAAACCACTGGCTATTGTCTAGCATGTATCAATTAAGGTCATTATCAATTGCTGCAGCCTGCAGAACAAGTTGGAAGACCTTTATAACCTACTTTGCTTCTTGCATGTTGAACCATGGTGTAACTAGGCTTGGTGAGCTTATTATTATTATTTTTTTTGACAATTTTATGGCTGATGCTCGAGATCATTTAAAAACAAGCAGTTACTATTCAGTTTTTGCGTCACATTTCCTAGAAAAATTGTTCAAAGAGTTAAAGATGGCCAAATCTTTTTTTTTTTGTTTATTGTTATTTTTTTAATCAACATTATAATGCAAATGAGCTTGTTCCCTCGCTCTTCCCATTTGCTGAAATTTGTTTACTGCTTGTTGTAGGTGGCAAAAACTGATTCAGAAGCCATATGAGAGTGGTGATTATAGAGGGATAAAGCTGATCAAGGCTATTGGGAGGCCACTAAAGCTCTACTATTTACAGACAGAAGTGATTATCATTTCTTTTAATGTAATAACTGTTTCCTTCTATTTCTTCAACAGCTTATAGTACTTTCTTTTTTTATCTCCACCAAAATGTAGATTTAACTCAACATCTCCTGACTACTCTACAGGGAAATATAGTTATATGTTACATCAAGCCTTCTCCTTAGCCTTCTCCTTCTAGATTTAGACTGACCAGATATGTAGCTCATGAAATAATCACTGCCTATGGATGAAGCTCTCAATATTGACAACCTCAACATCAACAATCTCAAGATTAAATGACTGACAATCTACTTCTTGTGTTATTTTTAATTGTACCTTTGCTACACCGACGATTTACAATCTACTTATTATCTGTTTTTAGTCATAACTTTACTACATCTATAGTCTATTATGTCCTTTATTATACTTTTCGATTTCGTTTTTTTCTATTTTCTAAATTCTTATTAGCTTATTGAGCAAAACTAGGCATGCCAGTCTTTGAATTCTACACCGCGCGATAAAAGCGGGAGTTGGAGAATGAATAGTGAATTTTGGTCGAGCGGTTATGCTGCTATTTTTGTGACTTTGAGGGGCGTTTTGGTCTTTTGGAATTGGAGGGCAATGGCTCTGCTGGAAATTCGCGCTGGTGAGTGGACTGGTTATCCAGTAATTTTCACCAACTTTGAGGGCATTTGGTATTGTTGGTGGGGCAAGAAACTTTTTCCATCAGCTGTGTGTGTTTTTGTTCTTGACACGTACAATTGAAGTAGGATTCTTGAATCTCAGGGCAAATTAACCGAGTAAAGCAGCCAAAAGTTGGGAAAATATATAATGGAAAGCAACTGATGGTGGGTGCGAGCCACTATTTTCTTCCCTTAATATATGCATGTTGTCCTTCTACCAACGTCCTTAATCTAAAGGGAAAAAAATGGAGAAAACTTGTTTCACGTGTAATAATACATGTCTTTTACTGTAGATTAATGATACTAATATTAATGAAAAAAGAAGTAGGCCTATATTTATTGAACTTAGTGAGTAATAGAGATATACATATCTAACAATATAAAAGGAAAAGTTGCCCTATGCACAGTATTGTTAGATAAATATAAAAAACAATATTGTTAGATAAATATCCATATTTAATATATATATATATAATTATTATAAAATGTTTCCTAATGGCTCTAAATTTAATGTGTATATATTCATTTTTTCTAATGGCTCTAAATTACTCTAAATTGAAAAGCAATGTTGTATGCTATTTTTTTATTATACTTTTAGTCAAACATGCAACATTAATTACATTGTTTTCTTACATTAAAAAAATTAAAGTACTGTAAATTTCAAAAATAATGTAATAATACATGGCTCTTAATGTAGATTAATGATCTAATATTAGTGAGCGACATTATACACAAATATGAAAGAAAAATAATTTTTGTGATTATATTGATTAAATGTTTTAATTTGTGCAAAAAAAAAAAGGAAATAGGCCCATCTTTATGGAACTTAGTGAGTAATAGAGATATACATAAATATAGATGGGTATCTTTATAATTACCTCACCCAAACCACATAATTTATACAAATCATACCACACAAAATGTCGACACTACATTGTCTCAATTATTGTACTTTATTAACCATTATATTACAAAATATCCTCCATACTTCACAAACTATTAATACTATATTCATCCAATCAATTTACCGTACTATTATTTTATAATTCAAATCAGACTTATAATAATTATATAACTCTCTATATTATAAAAAATATATAAAGGCTAAAAATTAAGGAACTTAACACGGGAAATATTAGTGCTCTTGCGCAACGCGCAGACCGTCTCACTAGTAAAACTATAAAAGTGGGAGTTGGGTTTTGAAGAGTTCATTTTAGTCGAGCGGTTATGCCGCAATTGTTGCTGGATATGAGGCTATTTTCGTAACTCCGTTCCTCCTTTGTATTGCTGCTGCCCAACCAACGAAAAACACGTCCTCCCAATCGAAACTTTGTCGCCTGAGTCAAGTGGCCGGGGTATGGGTCTCTCTCTCGGCCCCAAAAGAGGAAAAATAAAATAAAGGGCCAAATAATAAATTAATAAATTAACACAAAGCAGGAAGCAGGTCAGGAGGAGGAATCACTCAGTCTTTGGCAGTTCCTCGTGTCATGTGTCATTAGGATTAGCCTTAGTAGTCCTTCATATTTCGCTAATGCCATTTCCTGTTTCTGCCTTACTCAGGAAATCGGAAGATGCTACGTTATAGTTGTGCGGTTTCTTTCTAATTTATTTGTTCTTTGTTCCTCTTTGTTTGCATCATTTTTGCCTACTGTCATCCGCAAAGATAGGCCATCTTAGCTATTCTTGAGTATTAGTTTAGCCTTAGGTTTGTCTTATTTTTTCAGTTATGCCATTCCTTTTTCCCTTCGTTCAAGCTGCATAATAGTTGCTTGGTTGTTTGGTAATTTTGTTGTCTTCTGACCCTATTTTTTGTTGACTCATTGTGGATGCCTCACTTTTTGTTTCTACATGTTTCTTTGAAAATTGAAACCCGCCTCTTCTTCGTTGCAAAATTGCCATTTTGACTGTGTTCTCCTTTAACCACTCCATTGGGCTAATGGTTCAGTGACATCGGGAAGGGGTTTAACTTCCTTTTTGGATTATAGTTTGGATTATAGATGAGAGTTCAAATCTCATCTATAATAAAAAAAAATTTAAAAATTATGCTATAGTACTCTTTTGATCTATTTTGTACACTCACTAGTCTCCTACACAGGAGGCTGTGTTCTTCTTTGCTTCCCAGTAATACTATTGCTTTTCCTCTAGCATTAAATGCTAATTGTCCTTTCAAACAATACGTCTACAGAGATCAGAATTCCCACATTTCCCTTCCTCTTAATCATGATGCTTGTTAAGTTATTCCCATTTTTACTTTTATTCATGCTTATTTATATTCTTTTATTTTACTAAATATCGGACGCCTTTATATTCTTTGCTGCCTTCATTCTTTACATTTATATAGATATATTGGTCTACATACTTTGCTTTTTTTTCAATCTTTTTAGTGATCATGGATCAGAAAAAAAAAATTATTCTCTGATGAGGATAGCCAATTAGAGAAAAATTGTCATGCTAGAGAAGTATTTGCAGCCTTGCCTAACACAAAAAAGGCTGAATTTGTGGCTAAAAAACAGCAATCGAATTGCATTGAGGACATCCTCAATCAAATTGCATTAAATCTAAATTAAGTATTTTATCGTCATCCTCGAATTGCATTGAGCACATGGAATTGAATAAGATTATTACTCAATCCATAGTGCAATTGAACGCATTTATTTTGGATGCCACTGCTTCTGTTTTAGAAGCTCATCAAAATCTTCAAGAAGGTGCTACTTTGCATGCTATTTGTGCATTTTGCTAATGTTATACATATATATAATATTAATCATTAACACAAATTTATATCATATTAATCATTAACCTTCAAGAAGTC